ATATGCTGGAAAGAGTGCGAGAGTGAAACAAGCATGATTGGTCACAGGTACCCACGACCGAATGTTGCCTGCTTCATCTTCTATACCGGTGAGGTTACGGGTACTGTCATGATTTCAATTGCATGTGTAGCGTAAGCACAATATGATATCATAACTGTAGAGTAAGAGGAACAAGCAGTAGCGAGGGGTACCAAAAGTGACCCACGCGCGAAAAGGATAAAAAGGGGGGGAGAACGTGCAAAAAGGCACCGTTAGCTGGTAACGGTAAGTAAGGAGAGAATACTTAGGCAAGCAGGAATCTCGCGCAAGCAGCCCTCTCGGTGGTGGCCCTGCATAGAGCCAGCCGAGTTAGGTCTAGGAAGAGCTCTGCTTAGCGTAGCACGAGCGAAGAACATAACAAACACGCAAGAGAAACTCCCACATGAATAGTAAGGAGTGGCTAAAGACGCGGCAGTGGAGCGAGAAGGGAGGCATAAGACCCGAATCGAGTTGGCGGGCACAAGCAATAGAAATGCCTAGTAGCACGAGCGCGCAGCCGAACCCCGCTGAGCTAGACTCTCCGCGGTACCGAACTCCACATCAGCGGGCGAGAGTAGGAGAACCCGAAACCGGTCAGGAGCAGAGGGCGATGTCGGAAATGGGAGAGGCTCGGCAAGAAGCGAAATGGAAGATGTCGGCGACTCCGCCCCGTGCGTCACAGGAAAAGCCGGCCCCACCAACGGAGATGCCAGGAATGGAGGGACGCAGAGCAAACGCCGGAACCTCGCGGGGGCAGATAGTGGAGAGCACTACGGCGCAGCTGGCAACGCAAGAGGGAGAGCAGCCTACGCCTCGCGACACGCCTTGGAAATCGGCGAACCTACCAAAAGTAGAGGTGGCGGAAAGGTACAGCGGCATACCGGGAGTAGGACCGAGCCTTAAGAACTACCTGATGCAGCTGGAAACCGTGCAATACTGTTGGGAAAGAGACGGATACGACCCGTTAGAATTCTGTCAAAACTAGCAGTCAGAAACAAGAATGAAGAAAGGGATGTTTGCACTAGCAGCAGTTGAGATACATATAGGAAACCCTAATTTGGTTGTACTCGCTATAGAGAACCCCACTGCAGGCTAGACAATTATAACATTCTGACACACCCCCATAGTCAAAGTGGGGTATGATCAGCACAACAAGCAGGCATAAAGTAAGTTCACCAATTACAAGCAAAGCTAGAGGTAATCACAGAGGGCAAGTGAGGAGGAGGAGGGACTATGAGAGGAGAGAAGATTGGAGACGACGGCTGAAGGTGCAGACACACGGGCAACAGGAGCGCGCACACAGTGGCTCCCGGGACAGCGCCCCGGACTACTGGAGTAACTGGCTCGGCGGCTACGAGGAGCGGCAAGAGCAACGGACCCACGGGCGACAGGCACAGCAGGCTCTCTGGGCTACCGAGAGCACGACGGCTCCGGACTACTGGCGCTGCAGGCGACACGACGGCAGCCTCCACGCAACCTCCCCCGACCGTCCCACACCACTCTCACACACCCCCTGCTGAAACCCTAGCTCCACTCCCACTGCACCCCCCTTAAACCCTAAACCCTCGGCTCCCACACACCCACCCCCCTCAGCGGCAGCTGCAGCAGTGGAAGACGTAGGAGGAGGAGGAGCTGCAGGTTACCCACACCGGTCACCCCCATGCCCGCCACCCCCAAACCCTAACGCAGGCAGGAGCGCGGGAAGCAGCAGGGGCGGTTCACGGAGGGAAAGGGAGGCGGCGGGGGGGTCTCCTGGGCGCCACGAAGGAGCAGGGCGCGGGCCCCCCGAGGGCGCCACGGCGGGTGACGGGAGGGGGGCCGCACACGGGCCCCCGAGGGCGGCTCGACGGGCGACGGGAGGGGCCGCGCGCGGGCCCCCAAGGCGCCTCGACGAGGCGACGGGAGGGGGCGACGCGCGGGCCCCCAAGGCGCCGCGACGAGGCGACGGGAGGGGGCGACGCGCGGGCCCTCAAGGTGCCGCAACGAGGCGACGGGAGGGGGGGACGCGCGGGCCCCCAAGGCGCCGTGACGAGGCGACGGGAGGGGCCGGCGCGCAGGCCCCCAGGGCGCCGCAACGAGGCGACAGGAGGAGGGCGACGCGCGGGCCCCCAGGGCGCCGCGACGGGCGACGGGGGGCAGCACGCAGGTCCCCGGGGGCGCCACGACGGGCAGAAAACCACCGCGCGAAGCAGGAAACCGCCGCGCGCCTCGGGGCGCACGGCAGGCAGAAAACCGCCGCACGCCCCGAGCGCGCGGCAGGAAGAAAGGTTCGCGCGCCCGGGGCGCGCGACAGCAGTAGAGCAGCGGAAGCATCAGGTGGGGCCCACCCACAAGATCGACCCAGGAGGGTCGACCTGCTCTGATAGCATGTCAAAACTAGCAGTCAGAAACAAGAATGAAGAAAGGGATGTTTGTACTAGCAGCAGTTGAGATACATATAGGAAACCCTAATTGGGTTGTACTCGCTATTGAGTACCCCACTGCAGGCTAGACAATTATAACATTCTGACAAATTCTTCAGGAAAATGGTGGGAACGTTAACGGGAGAAGCCGAGACCTTCTATCGTTTGGTAAGGGAGGAAGTCATCGAGGAGTTGAAGTGCGGAGAGATTGACAACCCGACGGCGCGGTTTCTGCATTTACTGCGCAAGGAGTTCGTGGGGCAAACCAAAGCTCGGGTCGAAGAGTTCCGCGACTTCAGGAGGAAGAAAGAAGAGTCGCTGTTGGCTTACTACTGTCGGTTGCGGGAGCTGGCAGAGGATCTCGAGAGCAAGGATGAACGCCTACTCGTGCGGAAGTTCGTCCGCGGATTGGAAGAGGAGTTGCGCGGCGTGGTAAGGAACACGGTGTACGGCATTGGAGCCGACATCACACTGAAGGAAGTGTACGGCCTGGCAAAAAGGACGGAGCACGCCCAGCGGCTACTGGATCTGGAGGATAGCGAGGGACACGGAAGGGCGAGGACGACCTGGGCCGCCGCAGCAGTACCAGAGGTGACGGACAGCATCGGAGGGCGCGAGGATAGCAGAGCTTGCCACCTGTGCGGAGAAGGGGGGCACCTGAAGAGGGATTGCCCCAAGGCTCCCAGCGCGAGCACTGCGGAAAAAGGGGACATCGCAAAGAGGAATGCTACAGCAGGCCAAGAGAGGGGCTGGGGGCAAGCAGAGAAGAGTTGCAGGCAGAGGTCAAGAAGCTGCAGATGCGACTGGAGCAGATGCAGGCCCCCCAGGCCCCCAGGGCGCGAGCCATGCTGGCCTATGAGGAGATCGAGATCGAGGAGGAGGAGGGAGAAGATGCGTATCTGCGGGAATACGCAGTCATGGCGTACCCCCGAGATCGCGAAGAGATAGACCTGAGGCCGCGCGCCAGCACCTCGCGAGCCAGTGAAGAGAGCAGCAGCAGCCGCCAGAGGAGCAATCAAAGGGCTAGCAGCGGGAGTACGGGCATGAGGAGGCACCCCAACGAGCGGATGGTATGCCAAGCCTCAGTGCTGATAGCAGATAAAGGGAGCCTGACCGTGGGGGGGCTGCCTGTGAAGCAGGCTATTATCGATACCGGCGCTCACCATGTCCTAATAGGAAAAGGCTTGGCAAAGCAACTGCAGCTGGATCGGCCAGGAACAGTGGTGGAAAGGGGAATTCTGCTGATGACCGCAGAGGGAGGGGAACCCAAGTGGATGCCCAAGACGAAGAGGCCTGTAGAGGTGATCCTGCTGCCCGGGATCGAGAAAGAATGCTGCATCCGGCTGCAGTGTGGAGTGTCCGAGTGAGAGGACTATGACGTGCTGGTGGGAATGGAGCTCCTGTATCGGGTAGGGGCCACCATCTGCACGTGGCAGGAGAAAGTCCTCTATCGCGTGCAGTACTGGGACCCGAAGAGCTCTGTGAGCACTCTCCCGGTCAAGTTCGTGAGACAAGAACCTCGGGAAGCATATCAAGCAAGGAAGACCGATCTGAGCGAACAACTGGATGAGTGGTCATGGGAACGGTACGGAGAAGAGTACGAGAAGCACGTGGAACGAAGGGTGGCAGGGCTGGAGCCGCCAGCGCTCAAGGAGAGAATCAGCAGGACCTGGACCCTAGACCGGCAATCTGCGTGGTGGAGTTGTATGGAGGCATAGGCTCTGGTCTGGCAGCGGCATTGCGGGCAGGATGCATGGTGAAGCGATGGATACATGTGGAGAGAGATCCGGCGGTCCGCAAGATGGCCAGGCACCACGCCCAGCTGTTGCTGCAGGAGTATCCAGACACACTGTGGAGCTGCGCCATACCGAAAGAGGGAGAAGGCAAGGTGGATGATGTAAAGGATACTCAAGGGCGGGAGAAGGAAGGGGAATGGAGGACCCCAGAGGCGCATCCTTCAGAGAACTGAAAAGGGTGCTGGAGCTGATACAGCGCAGGCAAGCGGAGGTCCTGTACATCCTGGAGAACGTGGACATGGCAGAGGATATAAGGGAGCCGGTGAAACAGGCGTTCGAGGAGATTGCTGAGACGCTAGGAAGGGGAGTGCCAGTGGACGCGGCGCAGCTGGGATCCAGAGCCCATCGGCCGAGGCGCTATTGGCAGAACGGGGTCTCCGCGGCCACACTCAGGCACTCACTAGCGCGGATGCAGAGACCAGAGCCGAAGTTGGTCAGCGATATACTAGAGCCCAATCGCCTGCCTGCGCCAGTCACTAGCCCCGACCACCCCACACAATATCAGTGCAATGTGATCGGTAAGCCGCGACAGGCACTACCCACGCTGGTGTCCTATGAAGACGCTCGAGGCTTCAAGATGGAGGGAGCCTTGCCGGGCCCAGGAATGATATACGATGTGAGAAAGGCCAGATGGGAGCAGCCCACCGCGAATGAGAGAGAAGCCGCCATGGGTCATATGTGGGAAGCCACAGCCCATCCCAAAGTGACGGAGCAGCAGCGCAGGGCGGCCCTGGGAAGAGCGATGGATGTGAATGTTATGATGTGGCTGGTAGAAACGATCTGCATGCACTTGAAGGTGAAGGACCTGCAGAGAAACATAGCAGCCAATGAACGAACAGCGGACTATGACGAGGCAGAGCAGCAGCGGAGGGTGCTGGAGCAGATGGAGGAGAATTACGAGGACATAGTGATAGAAGGATATGCGTACATGGCCATGGGCCAAGAAGAGGCCGCGGGAGCAGAGGGGCTGGAGGAAGCTGCAGAAGAAAAGGGAGAAGGGGGCACCGGAAGGAGGCCAGAGGAGAACTGGGAGCTGGGAGCAGGAATGGGGGGAGCATCGGCAGAAGCAATGCAGAAGGTGCTGAGAGAGAACCGCAACTGCTTTGCCTACACCCTCCAAGAACTGGGGAGATGCAGCACACAAGTGATGCGCATCGAGCTGACCAGCGAAGTGCCAATCTATCAGAGAAAAAGGCGGATGAGCCCAGGGGATATAGACATCTGCATGGAGAAGTGTGCGGAGCTGACGGAAGCAGGCTTGATTCAGAGGTCCGAGAGTAGCTATGCGGCAGCGACCGTGGTGGCCTCGAGGAAGGACCTCACGGGGAAAGTGCTGGCAAGAAGAATGTGCGGGGACTACAGGGGCTTGAACAAAGTCACTATGGCCGACCGATACCCTATGCAATCGGCAGAGGAGATCTTCGACAAGCTGCAAGGGGCTAAGGTCTTCTCGACCTTGGATCTACGCCAGGAATTCAATCAGATCCCCATACGGCCACAGGACTGCGGAAAGACAGCGTTCCATGGGCCGGACGGCTTATACGAGTGGAGGTTCATGCCCTTCGGCATGAAGAATGTCACCGCATATGCACTTTATGCAGATACAATAACAGTAGAATAAGGGTGAAGGGAGCCGAAAAGCATATTAGGATATATGCACTTAAATGCATATATAGTTACATTAGTATAGGGCACGGAATGTAGTACAGTAGCGGTTGCAATAGGCAAAAGAGGGGGAAACAGAAAAGGGACGGTTGGAATCACGAGGGAAAGCACCGAGTGGCGAAATGGGAAACCAAATCCCAACCCGAGCCGCATATTGGGAAATGTGCAGCATGGAGCAGGGATGGGTAAAGTCACGCACGGTCACTCAATCGATGCTTGTTTCCTAGTATTCTCTCATATTAGTGGAAGTTAGCACATTCAGCTCTTAGCACGCAGTGATACACCACCAGGAGGGAACCAGAGGGGTGAGGGAGAGATCCCGTTCATACAAGGAAACAAGCGCAGGCACGTAGCATGGATAAATATGAGTTGCGTTGGGGCCGGGTCTTCACTCGTCGAGAGGAGGAAGGGCCGCGGCATGAGCGCCCACAGGAGCGCGGGCGTTCCCTAGAGAGGTCGCCCCGAAGGCCGGCCTTCCGGGCAGACAGAATCCCCGTCGTGCCGGACAGCCGAGAGAGAAGGGCGGCGCAGGGCGTAACGGGAGGCGGCAGGCTCAGCACCCCGACGAACGGCGCGCCATGGCGGAGGAACACGTTCCACCTGCGCGGCGACGAGCACCGCCACCCGCGCGACGAAGGGGTGTTCCGCTCCCCAGAAGGGGGAGGCAGGCGACGTGATGAGCGAGGCCGGTGGCGCGGGAGGGAGGGATTCCCGCGGGTGCGGGGAGAAGGCTCTGACGTTCGCCAGGTCGAGCAGGATCCGCGGGCTGAGCGGGCGCAGGAGGAAAGTGACGAGGAAGATGAGCAGGAGTACGGCGACGAGCCGGCGTACGATGACAGGCAAGGGTACGACGGCGGGCGGGCGCACGATGACGAGCCGGAGTACGGCGACGAGCAGGGGCGCGAGGACGAGCAGGAGTACGACGGCGAGCAGGAACGCGGCGATGAGCCGGAGTACGGCGGCAAGCAGGACCACGGCGACGAGCCGGAGTACGGCGGCGAGAGGGAAGACGGTGACGAGCAGGAAGACGGCGACCCGCAACAGGAGGGCAACGATCTGGCGCCAGCGAGGCCCCACGTACCGAGCGGAACCGTGGAGGGAGAGCGCACGCCCGGCGCGGAACGCGCCGACACCGCAACGGCAGCAGAAGAAGAAGAGAGAGAAGCGCGAGAGAGGGGGGCACGTGCCACGGACTCCGAGCGTCTAGAAAGGCGATACGCCCCCGACCCGCTGCAGCAGGAAGTTCGGACTCGCGAGGGAGGGGCCCGCACGATGCAGTCGCGGGGAATGCGCGAACGAAACGGTGCAGAGGACAGACGCGCGACAGGAATTCCGCGTCGGCGAGCGGAGACGAGGGACGTAAGCTCGCGCTCGCCCCGAGAACCGCCGCGGAGGGCCGATCGGTACGGAGGCGCGGCAGGAAAGCGGGGAGGAATGGAGAAGAATGTGGTTCGCTCGGCGGCGCCACCGCGGGCACCTGAAGGAAGCCGTGGGAGAGAGCAGCGCTCGCCAGAGACGCAGCGGAACTGGGAGGGGCGGCAACAAGAAGGATCACGCTCACCGAACGAGCGGCAGCAGTGGGGGGCAGGGCACAGAGGGGTGTCGCGGTCGCCCGACCGGCGCCGTTGGCGAGAAGGAAGGCAGGAGGAAGCAGACCGCACGCAGCCCGGCGCACGGCAGCAGGGCAGGGGCAGGGAGGAATGGTCGCCACCCCCAGCGAGACGTCAGCCGCGTGAAGCCGACCACAGGGAATGGGAGCAGAGCCATTATTCGCCGGCGCTGCGATGGGAGCGGGCGAGGAGGGAAGAGGGTCAGTGGGGCCAGTCAGGGGAGATGCGCGGAGAGCAGCTGGAGAGCAGGGCCAAGACAGGCAGCTTGGCGCAAGGGGCTGAACGGGCACGAATGGCCAAAGAAAACCTAGAACGAGGGGGGCAAAAAGGAGGGTATGGGAGACAGCGGGGAGGGGTAAGTGAGTCGTGGGGCGAGGGAAAAGGGGGTGCGGCCACAGCGACAAGGGTGGAGGTGCCGGCCAGATTCTCAGGCGATCAGCGGGAGGGGCCGTCGCTCAAGAACTATCTGATGCAAGTGGGGAATGTGAAGTATCGGTGTGACAGGAATGGCATGGACCCCATAGACTTCTTCCTGAGCCTGCCCAACACCTTGGATGGGGAAGCCGAGACTCTGTACCGTATGAGGATGGAGGAGCTGCTGTGGAGGGCAGGGAGGTACGGGGAAGACCCCACCGAAGCGTTCTTGGAGCGGTTGCAGCGGCAGTTCCCAGGACACACAGCGGAAAGGATAAGGGAATTTCAGGAATTCAAGTGAGGAAGGACTGAGTCACTGCTGGCATACTATAACCGGCTGATCTGTTGGGTGCAAATTCACATTGCACGACATCCTGCCGTCTGTTTGTACGAGTATGCGTGTGCGAATGCATTTGGGTGTGAATGGAATGTTCGTGTGTTTGTTTGCTTTCGCAATTTTCGCTTGATGCATTTGCAGGTACTCGCGCAATGTGCGCTTCGGCACAACATTGTACGCGCTATGAACAGTGCAAGCAGAAAGGACGAGCTCGCAAAGGAACCCAAGATGGACGCTTTGCAGTTCGGTTGAATTGATTGCGCAGATTCAGTTCTATCCAACTCGAAATTGTACTGTTTTGTTTGGTTGACTATAGTGTAGCAGGGCAGGCACTATAGGGGTACAATTTAGGTGAAGGTTGGATGTTGTTTGTCTGTATCTGCATGCTACAGGGCCAGGGGAAACCAGCGGAACCAGCATTTGGCTGGTTGGGCAAAGACAAAACAGGTTCTGTTTTTAGGACCTGAACCTGGTTGTTGTTTTCCCAGGTTGGAAAAACAGAACCAGAGGTTGTTTACCAACCTACCACCTGCTATTTTGTCCAGCCAGGTTGGTTCTGTTGCTTGGAATTATTTGGGATCATCCCTGGTTGTTCCCAGGTTGATTCCCAAGGTCCTTGCTAGCTAGAACTATTTATTCCTTCTCTGTTTGTACCTGGATATAGTGAAATTGATTCAAGCGAATTCCTTCCTTGCTGGAATTTCGTTTCTACGCGGTGCGACGGCGGAATGCTACCAAGTCAACGCTAGTACACTAGCACTACGACGCTAGGCAAACGCTGTCCGAGCCATAACTTCGTAATGGCAGAACTTTTCGCGAGGCAACTTGGCTCTTTTGAAAGCTCTTAGAGTGAGCTTCGATATAGCGAGTTCTCAGCTTAATCCGATCGACGGTCTGCACGGCACGCTGCGCGACGTTCAAGGTACTCTTGCTGTTTTGACTAACTCCCTCTTGATCCCTCTTTCTACATACTCGGACCCGAGGATAGGGGCTGGTCTTGTACCAAGCACCCAGGGACCCTTGGAGGTGACCCCGAGGAGAGGTTTTAAGTTGGATAACGTCTTAATAGCCTGAGTTTATTAGGCCCTTACACCAACATGATCAACGTGGCGGAGGATGTGAAATGCACAGATAGCAGCCTCCTGATCAGTAAGTTCCTGGGGGGGCTGGACGAGGCGCTCGGCGGCGGGCTGCGGATGAAGGTGTATGAGCTGGGCGCGGAGGCAAGATTGGATGAGGTGTTCAAGCTAGCCGAAAGAGTGGAGCTCGCACAGAGGAAGTATGAGGCATACCTACCTAGACAGCTAGAGAGAACCCGCAGGCCGACCTGGGCGGCAGCAATGATACCAGAGGAGAGAGGGAAGGCAGAGGAGCGATGAGAGACACGGGCAGAGACAAGGAGCTGCCACCGCTGCGGACAGCCAGGACATCTCTGCAGAGACTGCAAGAACTGTGATGGGTGCGGAAAGCCGGGTCCTCGCAAGCGAGAATGTCCTGATGCCGCCAGGTGCGAGGTGTGCAAGAAGAAGGGGCACGAGGCCAAGGATTGCTATCAGAGGGAAGGAGGAGCCAGGAGGAGCCCAGAGGAGTTGCAGCGGCAGATCAACAGGCTGCAGGCGCAGCTACAGGCAGCAGGACCGAGATGGGGGGCAGAGGCAGGGATGTACGATAGAGATGAGGAGGGAGAAGAGGTAGAGCAGGACGTGCAGTGTGCCCTCATGGCATGGAGAGGACGAGAGGAGATGGGGCTGAGGAGCGGGGGGAAGGACGGCAGGCAGGAGCAGAGCAGGAAGGCCCGGGATAAGGGGCAGAAACCAGAGGATCCAGGGTTGGTTCCACCGCCGGCACGACACCCTCAGGAGAGGCTAGCGTGCCAGACCTCAGTGCTGCTGCTTGAAGAAGGGGCGATGGAAGTGGAAGGGGAGAAGGTGAAGATTGCCATTATCGACACAGGAGCACAGAGCGTGATGCTGGGCAAGGGGATGGCTGAGAGGCTGGGGCTCTTGGCCCCAGAAAGGCATGTAAAAAGGGGGATGTTGGTGATGACAGCAGAAGGGGGGGAGCCGAAGTGGATGCCCTGTTCTCGGGCACCCATAGAGGTGACACTACTGCCAAGAGGGGAGCATGAAACCAAAATCCGAATGAAGTGTGGCATCTCGGAGTTCGAGGATTTTGATGTGTTAGTGGGTACAGAGCTGGTGTTCGCGGTGGGCATGACCATCTGCACGTGGACGGAAAGGGTGGCGTTCCGAACGCGGTACTGGAAGAAAGAGGGGCCACTAGGAGAGCTGCCAGTACGATTTGTGAAGATAGAGCCCAAAAGAGCGTACCAGGCCATGGCGGGACAGGAGGGGGAGACAGGAGGAGCGAGGGACCACAAGAGAATGGGCGGGACCATGGGAGTGCCCAGAATGAAGATGATGGATGAGCCGAGGCAGCAAAGTGACTGGCAGCAGCCCATCCGCTTGGTGGAGCTGTTTGGAGGGATTGGGGCGGGATTAGCAGCAGTGGTGAGGAGTGGGATTGCGGTGCAAAAGTGGGTGTATGTGGAGCAGGCGCCAGTAGTGAGGAAGATGGCTGAGCATCACGCATGGAAGCTGCAGGCGGAGTTCCCAGAGCTCCTGAGTGCGAGGGTGGTTCAGGAAGCCATGAAGGGAGACAGTCATGATGTGGCACGGCTGACAGAAGCGGAGGTGGCAAGCTGGGGGCCGGTGGATCTGGTGGTGGCAGGATGGGAGTGTCAAGGGGTGTCATGGGCGGGCAAAGGGAGAGGAGGGGGGGATCCGAGGACACAGCTGATGGAGGATCTCTTCCGCATACTGGAATGGCTGCAAGAGAGGCACGGCAGAGTGGCATACCTGGTGGAAAACTTGGACTTAGCAGGGGACAGCAGGGAACCAATAAGGCTGGTACGGGAGAGGATCAAGGAGCAGTTGGGAGAAGGGGTGAGCAGTGATGCGGCCAGAATGGGGTCACTTGCTCACCGACTGAGAATGTACTGGCAGAACATAGTCCCAGCACCGAAGCTGCAGGAAGAGATAGAAGGGGTGAGAAGGGCACCGGGAAGGAAAGTGCAGGACATCCTTGAGCCAGGACGGACCCCAGCGCCGGTGTGCCGGAAGGGGTACAGCAGGCATTATCCCTGCAATCAGGTAGGACAGGAGCGGCGGGCGCTGCCGACCCTGGTGACGTATGCAGGAGCGGCAGGGTACGCATGGGCAGCAGGGGAACCAGGTCCAGGACTCATATATGATCATAGGAAGAAGCAGTGGGAGGAGCCGACCGCGCTGGAGCGGGAGCTGGCCTTGGGATATGGGGAGAATGCAACGGCGGCTCCCGGGGTGAGCGAGGCCAGCAGGAAGAGGGCACTAGGGAACGCAATGGACGGCAACATGATGAGATGGCTGGTCCAGCGGATGTGGAGAGAGACAGTGGTGAGCTGGGGGCAGAAGGAAGGAGAAGGGGGCATGGAGCCATGTCAGAGGTCCACTGGTGATCCCCGATTGATCCTAGGGAAGGGTTACAGGCATGTTGGCCTGGGGGGTTATGGGCGCACTGACCCGCTACTTAACAAGCCCTTTTATCCCAATGGTGTAGTGGTTGGGATTCTGACATGGTATCAGAGCGAAGGTCTCGGGTTCGAATCCCAGTGTGTGCACTTCGGGCATCCCAGTGCGGGGGGGTGTCAGAGGTCCACTGGTGATCCCCGATTGATCCTAGGGAAGGGTTACAGGCATGTTGGCTTGGGGGGTTATGGGCGCACTGACCCGCTACTTAACAAGCCCTTTTATCCCAATGGTGTAGTGGATGGGATTCTGACAAGCCACGCCCTCAGGGAGCGTGGGCATGCCAGGAGCAGGAGGAAGAGGCGTGGAAGGTAGGGGAGGCGATGAGTAGGGAGGGGGAGGAAGCTATGCTGCAGCTGCTGACCAACCACCGACAGTGCTTCGCCTTCAACCTGCAGGAGTTGGGAAGGTGCAAGGTGAAGGAGATGGAGTTGAAACTGAGCAGTGCGGAGCCGGTGTTCCACCGGAGGAGGAAGATGCCGCACGGGGATGAGGAAGTCTGCAAGGAGAAAATCAAGGAGCTGCTGGAGGCCGGGTTGATTAGGCGGTCGGAGTCGGAATATGCCACGCCCACAGTGGTAGCTGCAAGGAAGGACCTAACAGGGAAGGTCCTGAGCAGAAGGATGTGCGGGGATTACCGGGCGCTCAACAAGATCACAGTAGCGGACAGGTATCCCATGCCCATGGCGGAAGAGATATTTGACAAGCTGGCAGATACGGTCTTCTTCACCACGCTGGACTTGCGGCAGGGGTTCAACCAAATCAAAATCAGGGAGGAGGACATCAAGAGGACGGCCTTCCATGGGCCGGATGGGCTGTACGAATGGCTGTACATGCCATTCGGGCTGAGGAACGCATCGGCAGTATTTCAGCGGGTTATGGATGCGGTGCTGAGGGAGGTGGAGTGTGCGGCATGTTACATAGACGACGTAGTGATCTTCAGTGCCACCGAGCAGCAGCACTTGCAAGATGTGGAGAGAACACTGGCAGCAATAGAAGCAGCAGGACTCACATGTCACCCCAAGAAGTGCAGGTGGGGGGAGGAGACAGTGCAGTACCTGGGATACGAGGTGAAGGGAGGACAGATTGGGATACAGCAGGCTAAGGTAGAGGTATTGGACAGGCTGAGAGAGCCAAGGGACAAGTCAGGGCTGAGGGCGGTGTTGGGCTTCCTTAGCTACTACAGGAGGTTTGTGCCCAACTTCAGCAAACGAGCAAC